TGAGAATGAGCAGACTCGGTTGGAGCTGGGGTTTAAGAAGGGAACAAGTTGGTCCTGTGATGTATCGAGAGGAGGAAGGGCATGAGGTATTTCTATGTGGTGGTTGGAGGATATCAGTGCGACAGTGATGGGTGAAGACTCAAATTTCATTGACTTGAAGATTGAGGAGAGGATGGGGGAGATATGGCGGTTCACGGGGGTTTATGGTTGGTCGAAGGGTCAGGATAAACACTGAACGTTGGAACTTATCCAGGCTTTAGCGCAAGATTGGTCGGGTCCTTGGATTGGCGGTGGTGATTTTAATCACATAATGACTAATGCAGAGAAGAAAGGAGGGAACCCAGGACGGGAAGCGGAGATGGGAGCTTTTGCCGACTGTCTCGCGTTGGTGGGCCTTCAAGATATGGGCTTTAGAGGCTACCCTTTCACCTGGGAGAACCATAGAAAAGTGGGCAGGTACATTGAAGAACAGCTTGACCGTTTTGTTGCAAATGAGGGTTGGAGATTATTGAAATCAAAGGCGCGAGTCTTTCACCTGGACTTGTTGAAATTGGACCATCTCCCTATTATTTTTGATACATTGGGGGATGAGGATGAGGAGATAAAATGGGGATGGATGATAACAATGTAATTGCATGTTTTTATACCCCTATTTCTTATCCATTTGGGGGGCATAGTTGTGTGTTTTGGCCTATTTTACGTCGGGTTGTGCTACTTTGTCATATTTCAGGTCCCAGGCGTCGAAGGAAAGGCTAAGCACGAGTTTCGGGGCATTCGGAAGTCATTTGGTCGAGCTAGGACCAAAACACGGGCAGGAGGCTTGCAAAGCACGGCCGTGTTCCTGGCCCATGCTTTTACTGCCGAGGCTTCCCCCACAATTGTCCTACACAAGCTTAAAACACGGGCGGGACCAATTCAGAACACGGCCGTGTCCACATCAAAACACGCCCGTGTTTCTCCCAGACCGTGGCCGTGTATTTACCATGTGGCAAAGGGCACGGGCAGGCTGGAGCAGAACACGGCCGTGCCCTCGACCGTGTTTTGCCCAGTGATGCCCTTTTAGGCAGATTTCAGCCAAAAGGAAAGGGGAATCGGATTTGGAGAGCAAAAACAGAGCCCTAGAGAGAGAAAGTGCGAAGAACACATCCTAGAAGCTATCTTGGAGCTGGGTTTCGTCAAATCGAGCTTGGAGATCGTCATAGGAGTGGAAATCATCATCCCAGAGCAGATTTTCCTCATCTTTATGAGTATGACTACTCTGATTACTGTTTTCTTCTCTCTCTCTCTCTCTCTCTCTCTATATGGAATAGAACCCTTCTCTCACTTGGGTATGAAGAACCCTAGTTCCTTGTGTTAGGGATTTGATTGTAATGACTTGGGATGATTATACTGTTTGGTTTTAATCGAATGATGCATGTTTATTGAATTGATTGAAGTCTGATCAGCTTTTCTTGATTTCTGCTGCAACCTGAGATAGATAGAATCTGATTAGGTTGTTAGAGCCTCTTCATTCGATAGCAGGAGATTGGTTATACGAGAGTTAGCCAGTTTACTGCTTTGTACTGGAATTCAATTCCAGTAGTGGAGTTCTGTGCTTATTGCTTCAGCTTTCTATCCCCGTGAAGACTAGTCGTCTGCCGGGTAGTTAGACTGAGAGGGCTTGGTCAGCTTAAGAGATTCCAAGCTACTGTCGGATCTTCCGCAGTCTAATCAACAGTAAATCAACCCAGGGTAATTACAATTGAACCTAACTAAGGAGCTAGGGGGACTCATTCCCGAGTGACTCTTTCCTGCTTTAGAAAACCGAACCATTTCCTGCTTTCTTACTGCTTTTGCTTTAAACAACAATCAATCGAATTAGTTGGCTAGATAATAGATAATCACGGAGTAAGCAGTAGATCTAGACCCCGGGTTGATAATAGAACTTGCCTGTTACTGCGATTACACTTGGTCGTAGTTTGGTGTTGTGTTTTGGCGTGTCAATGGACGTTTCATTTTGAGCATCTGTGGGCTAAGCATGAGCAGTTTACGGAGCAGGTCAAGGAGGCTTGGGATTTGGCTGCTGGGAATGCCATTGAAAATATGAGTGTGGTACAACACATATTGGATAGCTGGAGTCACAACACTTTTCCTGATATTCGAGGCAAAAAGAGAAAGTTAGAAAGGCGTTGAAGGCTTTAGAATGACGGGACAAGACTGCGCAAGTGCTCCAACAACGGCAAACTTTACAGTTAGAACTCGAGGAGCTTGAGTGTGATGAGGAAAACTTTTGGCAGCAACTTTCTGGAACAAACTGGCTTCGAGAGGGCGACAAAAATACAAAAAATTTCCACCGAAAGGCTTCCTCAAGACATCTGCGCAATACAATTCGTAAAGTTCAGGAATCAGGATGAGACGGGCGCGTGGTGGCGAGGAACAGAGGAAGCACTACAGTCTTTTACTAATTATTACTCTATTCTTTTCTCTGCAGGGGAGCGACCGGAAATAACTCCTGTGTTGGATTCGGTGAAGTCCGAGTTAATGAGGGGATGAACGAAGGTCTCTTGAAGCCATTTACTAGGAGGGAGTTGTGTGATGCCCTTCGACAGATGGGGACAAGTAAAGCTCCGAGAGCGGATGGGATGTCAGTGATTTTTTTCCAAAAGTATTGGCACATTATTGGAGATGACGTGACACAAATGCTTCTAGGTGTGGTGGAGAATGAAGTCATGCCGCAAGACCTGAACTATACACTGTTGGCTTTAATTCCTAAGGAAAAAGAACCAAAGTTGGCCAAGGAGTACAGACCCATAAGCCTCTGTAATGTGATGTATAAGATGCTCTCGAAGGCCTTGGCAAACAGGTTGAAATCTCTCCTGGATAAGATCATATCCCCGGAACAGAGTGCATTTGTTCCAGTTCGGTTTATCGCTGATAATGTGATGACAGCTTTCGAGTGTTTTCACACTATGAAGAAGAAGTCGAAGAATAAGATTGGATATACGACGGCAAAAACAGATATGGCTAAAGCGTATGACATAGTGGAGTGGTGGTTCCTGGAAGGTGTGATGGAATGGTTGGGTTTTGCTGCGAGATGGATCAGACTCATCATGTTGTGTGTTAAGTCAGTGTCTTATTCAGTTGTGGATAACAAACACATATCACAGCGTTTTGTGCCGAGTAGGGGACTACGACAGGGCGATCCCCTATCACCGTACCTGTTCCTACTGGTAGTCGAAGGTTTGTCCTGTTATACGAACCTGTCGGTTAGATAAAAGAAACTGCATGGTCTATCGGTGGCCAGGGGTGCTCCGGTGATCTCTCATCTTTTCTTCGCCGATGATTCCATCTTTTTTGCAAGAGCAACGGAGAGGGAGAGTCGGGAATTGAGACGAGTGTTTGAAGACTACCAAAAGGAATCTGGTCAGCTGGTCAGCTTGGAGAAATCGGAAGTAACTTTCGGAGCAAATGTAAAGCCGCACCAAAAGCTGGTGGCTAGTTCTGCTCTTGGGATGAAGGTGGTGGACAAGCATGATAAGTACTTGGGTCTCGTGACTGAGGTAGAGCGCTCAAAGAAGGAACTTTTTGTTTACTTAAAAGATCGGATTCGGAAGAAGTTGGCAGGGTGGAAGGAGAGATCGATGTTAGCTGCTGTGCGTGAAGTACAGATTAAGTCGATGGCAAAAGCGCAGCTAACCTATACTATGTCCATTTTTTAAAGTCCTATATCTTATACTTAGGGGTGTACATGAGTCGGTTGGTTCGGGTTTAAGTATTTTAATCACCCGACCCATGCACTACGGTTTGGGAATTATCAAACCCAAACCCACCCAAAAAAATTTAAACCCTACGGTTTGTTTCTAATTGGGTTGGGTCGGGTTGGCGATATTTTTAAGTAAAAACCCAACCCAACATAAAATATATAATTATTATACACCATAAAAATATTTTATAACTAATTAAAATTTCAAACAAATAAACCGAGGTGAAAGGTATCAAAATTCACAAATGTTGTTTGAGTTTTAATAAAATGTGATTTACTTCAACATATGTCTAGTTTTTTTCACGATATTTGTTGAAATAGGCTAAAAAGGTTATAAACAAATGCATCCATAATATGTTATTCTATTAAAATTGTATACAAGAAAAATGATTACGTGAATCATAATTATATATTCAATTTATGTCTAAAATTTAAGTCGAAGAATGCATTAGATTTGGGAGAAAACATGGCGAAATATCTTAATTTTCACATAAAATATGGCTATATACGACATAAATATTTTTTAGATACGAACTCATACTAATAGTTGGAACACGGGTTGGGTCGGGTTCTACGGGTTGTGTAATCCAAAATCCAAACCCAACCCAAAAGAGGCGGGTTCCACAAAAGAAAACCGTCACCCAACCCAAAACCTTCGTTTTAGCGATAAATACGGGTGGATTGGGTCGGGTTGGACGGGTGGGTCGGTTTGCGGGTGTGTTTGTTCACCCCTACTTATACTTGATGAAATACACAGGCTGGTCACACGATTCTGGTGGGGACAACGAGGGGAGGAGAGGAAGACCCCATGGGTGGCGGGGGAGCCAAGGGACCATAATGGAGCTTTCATTTTGGCAGGGGTGAAGAGAGTAAGAGGGATTCATGACCCCACATTGGGTGAGGCTAATGGCAGTCAAGTTTGGTCTACAACTCGCTAGACGACACCAGCTAGCTTCGCCCTCTATGGAAACTTATTGCTTAAGTGTGTTAAACAATTTGAAGAAGGCAGACGAAGTTCACACAGAGTTTGGGACGGTGCTCATGAGTATTACGAGGCTGGTGACGATGACCGGAGCCAGGCGGGTGATGCATGTTAGTAGACAAGCAAATGAAACAGCACTTATTATGGCTCACACGAGAGCAAGATGGGATATAGCGAATGTTTGGTTTGATAGGCCACTGCTGAATCTGTTGGATCAGCTTGTAAGTGACAATGTAACATCGATTCCCACTTAATAAAGCTGAATAATAGGTTTCGATAAAAATAAAAATAAAAAGGCATACTTTCACTTTGTTCCCGTTCCAGGCTCAGCTCAGAACCAAATAGACAAAGATTCTAGGCCCGGTTGACAGTTGAGCCCTTACATTGCTGGGCCTGACCGCCAACGACCGACGGTGGCGCTGCCACTTCTATGTTCTCAAAACATTTTCACCCAGCTCACCACTAAACAGACTTTTACTTTACTGGTTGGCTACTCTCTCCATTCCACTGAACCTCCATATCTATCACTGATGAAGATAACTCAACGGCGTTGAAAGCTCCCCGCCATCTCTCTCCGAGTCGGTAACCGTCGGAGAAGAAGAAGAGCGAAAGGAAACCAGTCCATAGAACGGCGTGGCAGATTCTGGAAAATTGCGGAGTATACAGGCGGGCAGATTGAGCTACCAGGAGGAGTAATGACCACAGTCTCGCTATCTAAACCACCGCCGTGCCTCTACGGCCACTCGAACCCTATCCGCTCGTTTTCGACGCCGGTGATTCTATCACTCTCGTTTCACCGAACGGAAGCGCCGATTCCCATGGTTTGTTGCGCGCTGAAGACGGAATCGGAAGGGTCGAATTTGTTGAGGAAGCCGGTTTCGCCTACGGCGAGGGAATTGGGCGGAATTTCGGAGCAAGAGGATGACGACGCAGATGAGGCCAAGTACAGGAAGGAAAGCGATGAAGACATCGTGGGGGAGGAAGAGGAGGAGGACGACGAATGGGTGGATTGGGAGGATCAGATTTTGGAGGACACGGTTCCGCTTGTTGGATTCGTGCGAATGATCTTGCATTCTGGCAAGTAAGTGATTTCTGAGCTTCCGACTGTTTGATAGATAGTGTATCTAGAAGTTGGTTCTTTTAGTGAATGGAATTCTTTGAGTTTTGCAGATATGAAATTGGGGAAAGACTAAGTCCGGATCATGAGAGGACTATTGTGGATAGGTTGCTTCCATATCATCCTGAATGTGAGAAGAAGATTGGATGCGGGATCGATTATATCACGGTATGAATTTCACTTGCTGTGTATTCTATTCTATAATTGTGTATGTTGGTTTGGCATTTAAGGGACGATGGGCATATTCACCTGGCACTTGCTGGGTTGATTGTCTCTAAGTAAATAGGGATAGTTATGGAGTTTACGGCTGTGAAATGATGCTGGTTCACTGATCTTCTACTGATTCAGTTATGATGTCAAAACGGGATATCTGATATGTTGAACTTAATCTTGTGTCATTGAGCTTGACCCCTTGTTTGAATTGAGGCTATAAGATCCTAATATCATTGCTTTATCAATTCCAAGTTCAGCGAAAACATATATGTCAGTTGAAGAGTTCTGCATTTGGCTCACTGTGATTCACATTCCAGTCATAGGGTTGTTTCATGCTCTTTCAGCTGATAGCCAGTCCATGTAACTTACCCGGGATCTACATGGACTTTGGATCACTTATCATATGCTTCATCCCCTGATGTCTTACCACATTCTGCTCTTATATACGTTGTTATGTCAGTTCCTTGTGCCAAGCTGCTACTGATTTATCCTCGCAATGCTGGTGCATAACATTACTGTGTACTGCCTCATAATTGATTGAATGTACCAATCACGTACAATATCAACCTTTGCGCAAAAGCCAGAAGTAATTCTTTGCAAGAGGCACTTTCATAGGTTGCTTCCATGTACATTAGAAATATGTGCAGCACTCATATACAGTTGGCTAATGATATTTCTGAAGTGTGAAACTACTTGGTTAAGCATATGGCATCCATCCAAGATCATAGATTAGACCTGTGGTTTCTGATTTCAGCTGTAAATGATACAAGCAAAGTTATGTGTTTTTCCCTTTGTTTATTTTTTCTTTTTTACAGGTTGGGTATCATCCAGATTTCACAAGTTCGCGGTGTCTGTTCATAATCCGAAAAGATGGACAGTCTGTTGACTTCTCGTACTGGAAATGCATAAAGGGGCTGATCAGGAAAAACTATCCACTCTATGCTGACACTTTCATTTTGAGGCACTTCCGGCGACAGAGGCGGAATTGATTTGATTTCATCCCTGGAGCTAGTTTGACCAGAGACCACCCTGTATAATGATCAAATTCTGGGGGAAAGATGTTGGAGTTGTTCATTCTTCTCTGTCTCGTCATATATATGATGATGTTGTTGTATCAGCAAAGTGGTTAGGAACTCGAAAAGTGTTTATTATTGGAAAATGTTCATCAAGCTGTGGCTCGTAAGACGGCAAGAGGTGTTCCACTTCCAATTCCAAGTGTCTCTTTTCTCTTTGACGCGGATCAAGTCCATTTCGGGTTTGGAATCCCATCTTCTTGTATAGGTCCAGGTTGTTCCCAAAGCTTTAGATGACAAATTTACTATTGTTTAAGGCTTTGAGCCCATTTTGCCAGGGAAAAAGGCCCATGAACGTAGGGTCAAACTGCTGATTGATTTGTGAGTTGTTTCATATTTGGGCATGTGCGATTTGAGCCAAATCTATTATTTGGAAATGATCCTAGGTGTTGAAGAAAAGGGGAAAAGCCCTAATCCAAACTAACTACAACTATCATCTTCTTCCTAGAATGGTACCTCCAAAAATCTGCCGCAAATTGCTTTTGCGATCCTTTTAGCAGCAGCTTTCGAATCGTCAAGTCGTCTGGCAGTGGGGAGGTCGCATTACATTGGATAGAACTTTGAGAGGGAAGAAAGAGATATCGAAGATGGTTTTGGCGACAGAGTAATTCAATGTCATAAGTTCCATAAGAGCATCCATATCAATGCAATGTCAGTTGCATTATGTGGTTTCTATAGACACCTTATCAATTTTTGCAATCCAACTCAATTGAATTTCATTGTCATATATCAATTCAATTCATTTACAATTGCATATAAAAAAACTAGATTGTACCCGGCCCGTTGGCCGGTTGCAATATAATATTCCTAATTAACAAAACTGTAAAGGTTAAATTTCAGTAATCTCCTCTCCTTTTATATTCTTGTCATGATTATATGTCAACATCATGTGAATTAACAAACAATGATATCAGTTTACAAAATAGATAGCAAGTTGGTTTTCCCGGTTTTACTACTACGTAAGTCAAAATGCATTCAATTGCTGCAAATGAGCATCTATCATAAAGATTTGCCTTCTATGCTCATATTAAACTTAATGTCACGATATTATAGGTATTCCTATGCAACCGGTTTTAGCATCAAGAATCTTCATCATTAACTCCATTATCTTCATCATTAATAGACGCTTCTATCTTTTGTATTTTTTGCAAATCAAATTCAAACACAAAACATAATTATATATGAAATGTAATTTACTTCATTTTAATCACAAATGAAGTTGGAAGTTAATTGTTTCCCATCATTGATTATCTTTGAAACTGTAAATCGAGTTACGGGATTTGTGATGTTGTAATCAGTAATCACTAAACTTGGAACTTTTACCTCAATAATTTTTTTCGTAAATACTGCATTCTTTCAATTAATGAGACATTATGGAGAGGAGGTATCATTCTTCCACTATTTTTAGTAGCTTTTCATCACTAACTCTAAAATCCGAATTCTTGATGGCCAAAAACAACAAACTCATATATGGTAGTATCCAAAACTCAACGCATATATGGTAGTATCTACCATTCGAATTGGGTCTTAAATATGAAAAATGTTGACAATTGAGATTCATTATTTAGAAGAGCAATATAAGCTTTAGTGAGTATGATTCTTAAATTGACTAAATTTCGCATACGGAAAATGAAAGAGGATAGGTAAATTATCACATAACAACTATAGTGTGTTGTTGCTAGATCTTAATCAATCATTAGATTCAAACTGATATTACCGCAATTTTCCAATTCAATTCATTAAGTTCTTTTATTATCATAAAATCATTAAAATAAATTAATGCAAGATGTATTTTTAAATTTCAACATAATAAGAAAGATTTTTCAATGTATAAGAATGTTACTATAACTTATAAGTGACCCTTATAAAAAAAAGAATGTTACTATAAGTGAAATTCAATTACTTCGGGAATATCAAGATTAGGACGTAGCACGTAGCTTCAATTCAAGATAATAAATTTTCACCCACAAAATTGGTCAATCACCAGTAAAGAATATTAACATCTCAAGTAATAAACTAATAAAATAAAAAAATGTGTGCGTATATTTCGGAGACAGAGGAATGCAATGGCCAAAATGAACATGACATTAATAGCTTTGGCAAGAATTTTATTCAATTAGGTAATGGTTGTGGTTCATAAAGTTATTTTTACAATGCATTTTCTATACCTGAATTGAGACTTAGAACTTTAACAAAATCAGGTAATTTTAAAATAAAAATTATACCTATAAGTTGGTATTGTCACATATTTGGACATCAATAGATTATTTGAAATTAATAAATCTCAAACGTGTGATTCTATCAAAATTTAAACATAACCAAACACGAATCGCGATCATGTTGGATTTGAAGGCTTTCGATTGACAGTTATCTATTTCACACATCAGCAGTACGTGAGATTCTCTCGCCACAGAAGAGGGAGTCTAGAGAGGGGTTTTGGAGTTTAGTGGTATTGTTGTCGTCTTAATAAGAAAGTTGACAAAAGATAGAATTGGACGAATCCTTATCGATTATCGTCCAATTGGTGTGTTTGTTTTTGGGTTAGCCCAAAGGAGTACTGTTTTGTTGGGGCTTACTAAGTAGTCGTGGGCGGAGTGAGTGGCCGGAGAAACGGATGTCCGCAACGTTACAACTCCGCCACATGGGTGCTCGGGAAGAAGATGGAACCAGGTGTCTCCAAATGCTTTCATTGGACGGCCGACAAATGATAATTAATTGAATTGAATTGAATTGAATTGAACAAGCAGCTCATTATCAATGCAGGTTGCTTCTTTTTCGTATTTTCATGATGTTTTTTTTTTAAAGGATGTTTGTTTTTTTTGCCATTTAAGACAGGACATGTTCCTTTGTTGGACACGTGTATCAGCAACCCACTACTAATAAGCTGAAACAATAGTACTTGTGACTTATATTATTTACATTATGTCCCTCTTAAAGAGAATAGTCCTTATGATCACGACTAAGATCCCAAATTCAATAAAAAGTAATTTTTCAGCTTATTGGTAATACACTAATACGGTAATCAAAATTTGTGAGCTAATAATTTAGCTGGAAGAGCTTACAACCGTACAAGGAGGGAGGAGGAGGAGATTAGGGGAAGTTCGGGCGGGCTTAGCTTAGAAGCAAATTGGAGAGGGATACAGAATGGGCCCAACAAACAGTGCAGCCCAATCCAGTCCTCACCCGACCATTTGGATTGGATGAATGAAGATAAAAAGTAAAAACTATTATTATAATAAAACCTTCTCTCACAGTCTCACTTTTTCCACTTTATGTTCTTTTTTCCCCCGGGTACAAGGCATCGCTTTTTATCGTTTAGTCTCGCCGGTCGCCGCCTCTCTCCTTGCTGGGGCACTTTCGGTGAGCAATGAGTAGGAGTGATAAACTGTTAGTCGGTTAATCGATAACCAAATCGATAAAGTTGGTTAGTGGTTAACTGATAATTCTACTTTCTTATTGGTTTCGGTTTCGGTTAGTAGTATTTTGGTTTGTGGTTAACCGCTAATCGACTAATCGGTTAGCGGTTAACCGATAATAAAACCGACAACCGCCTACTAGTGTGACTACATGGTTTTTTACTTTGGCTAAGGGAAAAAGTTGTAAGATTCAAAACCAATCAAAGTCGCAATTCCAAACATCCCAATTCTCACCTATTGTAAACAATCATTCATCAAGAGTCTCAAATGTTTTTAAGATTTAGAACTCGAAAGTCACCCCTCTCTAACTCCCCTCTGCACTCGATAGAGTGAACCTTAGGTTGATGACTATGGGCTAGATGAAGATCTTGGAGTAAATGATGACTATGGGCTAGATGAATTGGAGCGAGATCCTCGGATCATTTAGGTTGATGATTTGGAGATAATGAACTTGTTATTTGTGTCTAGTTGTGATTTGTGACTTGTGGTTGAATTGTGGGCATGTAGACTTTATGTTGTGGAGTTGTGGTTGAATTGTGTGGTTGCTTTAGACTTTATGTTCAATTGATTTAGATGACTTTATGGTGTGTGATTATAGAGGTTGAAACAAAAGCAGGTCACTCAAAATTGAGGGTGAATCATTAAAAAAGGTGGCTGAAATTCGGTTTTGGGTGTCGGTTTCTGAACGAAAACCGAGAAAGTGAACCGGAACCGAGGTTCCGGTTAACCGCAATGGAAAACCGAAACCGATATTTGCGGTTTTCGGTTAACCGAAGTCTCTGTCGGTTTCGGTTTTGGTTAGCGATCTTAGGACAATTTTGATTGCGGTAAACCGATATTTCGGTGCGGTTAAACCGAAACCGCACCGACTAACACCCCTAGGCCCTAGCAATGAGAATGACCAAACCACACTTTTTGTGGTGTTTTGGTCGCTTCTGTAAGTGTAATTCCCTTCAATTCGTTAATTCATCGGCAGAAGACCTTCTCGATTTTTCTAAAACAACTTACTCACTTTTATAGTGATATGAAGCCAAATTACTTCACATGTTACCCTCTTTTCTAAAAGCCTTAGTCAACTTTAACAAGAGATGGTTAAAATAAAGATACAACGACCATAATCAATTGAAAATAAGAAAGTTTCACTTAATAGATTTCAATCCAAAAAATTGAAATTAATTATCTTTCCTATCCACTAACCAATACCCATTCTCCTAGAATGTAATCATTCCATAAACAAAACAAAATTACACAAATATTTTTACCGACTCTCAATATCTTCTTCTTCTTCTCCTTCTTCTTCTTCTTCTTCTTCTTCTTCATATCCCTTCGTTCCTCCCTCATCTGCCAACAATAACAACAACAAGAAGATGATTTTCCAACTTCAATACGGAGATTTATGAGTTTCTTCTCCCTAAGTTTTATGTACCTGCCCTGCTGCCCAACCCCATTTTTTCCACCTCTCGTATCCAAGTTGAACCCATGTATGCCTTTGCTAATGCTTCTAAACCTCCGAAACTTACTTTTGACCATGCCTCTTGCTTATTCATGCCTCAATTGCTAGTCCTATTACCCCCCGTCGAACCTGTTCCTGTATGTTCTCTACCTCACACTCTTTGTGCTTTTATTTACAACCTCAGACATAATTTTCTTTTATAAGGGGTCGTTTGGAGGTTGAGATTTGAAGTGAGGTATTTAGCAAATACATGTAATGATAAAATTAAGTCGTTTTTTTGGTTCACTTTGAGTTAGAATGCATGCATTACCTTTTTGTTGGGCCCACCTACAATCACTCAAAATGAATGATTATAAATCTCCACTAAAAGGTGAGATTGTTAATGAGGGATTGTCTACCCTACTTTTTGTTTCATCATTGCTCTTCCAAACAAAGTATTTTCCTAATACATGCATTGAATCAATACATCAAATGATAATACACTAATTGACCTAATACATCAATTTGAAGAATCACAATTTCCAAACGACCCCTAAGTTTTTTCTCAAGATCATGTCTTGCGTATTAATCTTGGGCTCTTTTTCATGCCACAAATCTTTTCAAAGATTGATTTAAGTTTTAGGGTAAATACAATTTAATATCCAAACCTTTCATTTTAAACAATATAATAGTCAAACCTTTTCGAAAACAATCTAATATCCAAATCGTCAACTTTCCGTTCGTTTGACCGTTAGTTGACACTTCAAAAAAGTTCGAAGTACGACGCTTCATCAATATCCATCGATATCTTCTCTGAAAAACCACCAACATATCGTGGTTCCAAACCCGAGAAGTCCATGACCCCACCATGATGGTATAGAATATCTAAATATTCAGTCATCTGCAATGCCAAAAAAAAAAAAAACAAAGTTGTATTGTGACAATTTCCCCTAAACAAAGCTTTTTTTGAAGTGTCAACCAACGGTCAAACGGACGAAAAGTTGACGATTTGGATATTAGATTGTTTTCGAAAAGATTTGGCTATTATATTGTTTAAAATGAAAGGTTTGGATGTTAAATTGTATTTACCCTAAGTTTTATCCAAATCACAAAAGTAAACCTATATCCATTTTATAAAAACAAAAAATTGATGTTGCCACTCTACTGCGGTTAAAATACAAATCAATATTCAATCAAACTCAAGGGACATAAAAAAAATATGTTAACCAATTCAACTCGTCCTAAAAACGCAATGCACTCTTACCTAAAATTTGTCTCTTAATAAACGTCAAGTCTCCTCAATCCTCATCAATCCATAGTAGTGGGATAGTGTAAATAATCAAATTATAGGTTCTCCCATTTCAACTAGTGTCCCCAAATATGTGCACTTGATCTTTTGGACTAATATGGGAAAAAAGTAAACTATCCACTACTATTATTAAAATCCTTATCCACTCTCTGAAGAATGGCTGGCTGGCTGGCAGGAGGGAATTGGTTGGAATATGCTCTGCTCTCTCAATCTATCAAAAATTCAAATTCAAATGTTCCCTCACTCGTCACTTTGAGGCGACCATTCCCTTCCCTTCCTTTCTTTTCCTTTCTTCTCCATTCCCAGCCATTCCTGTTACTCAGCTTATTACATTATTTATTATTATCATCATCATTATTTTGTGCCCCTATCTATCTAATTCCTACCTTCCCTCCCCATTTTATTTTATTTTCCTATATAAAATCCACAAACTCCAAGTACTCCCCGATTCCAGACCAAATTCCCCCGCCCGTCGCTCTCACCGGCAGATCCACCCCTCACATTTATAGTAAGCGCGTGAGATCTTGCAATTCCTTGATCCCCACCGTACCTTCCTTCTTGGGCTTGTTCTGCTCTAACTAATTAACTGAATCTCTGCACAAAATCCTGCACCATCTTCAACATTATCATTAATCATTATTTTATCGTTGGGCTTTGGCTATGGCCATTGGCGTATGTTTTGTTAAAAACGGGCTTCTAGCGTATTGTGTTTTTAGCCTGCTTAGCTCCCTCCGATAAAATTACTCGATACCTAGTTACCTATCCTTATTTCGATCGACAAATTTATCATAAAAATTTATAAAAGCTCAATTTTTTTGTTGTTGTAAAAGTTACACGTGTTTTCCTTAATGGCAAACTTGCGAATGAATATAGACATATTCGGTTAATTTTAACGTGGAAAGGCACAATTTTTTTTGGTTATATGTTTGTGATTCTAACATTTGGCAATTTTGTCTAAACATAAACCAATGGCATCCAAGAAACACCAATTGGAGAGGCAAGATGTGGCGGAACGAAACTAGCTGCAATCCAACGGTTCCAGCTTAAGCAACGTGGGCGTCTCTGGAGCCTTCCACTTTGCACTATGCCAGTGGCAGCAGGTCACGTCAAATTTTCCTACCTTCCTATTCATTGGGCCACGCTTCCTTCCCCAGCGGGCCCATTCATAGAGTATTATAAACTCCATAATTAAATTACCTTTTTAATCACTTCTCCCAAATAATAATAATAATAATAATAATGCGGAAAAAGCATGGCCCTTTCCCATTCGTTTTCCTTAAAAGCTAGCAAAAACCCAAACAAGCAGAGACAGCCGACACTTGGCGCATTCCCGCTTCCCCCATTAGACCAAAAAACAAAAACAAAATACAGACCACCAGAGAATTTCTGAGCTCCTAAAAAATATATTAGAGATAATTATTCCTGAAATTTCAAAGCTGTAGCCTTTATTTTCCATGTCCATCGCACTTATCTCTTCCACTAATGCCCACAACTTTCTTTTCTTTCTTTGTTTTGCTTTTTATTTGTCTACTTGCTTTTCCATTTCCATTCCTTTCCTAATGAGGACTCACATTATTGAGTTCAACTGATCTCCATCTCCCCTTTTATCATTCCTGCTCTCCTGGGTTTCTCTCCCCTTTCCCCGTTTGCCAATTGCCCAGTTATTTGACCCGTTTCTCTTTTCCACCCACCGAACAAATCAAGCTCCGCCGTTTCTCTCATCTGGGGTTTCTCCGGGGAATGCTCCTACTGAATCAAGCTGTTTATTTTTTGGAGATATATGTAAACAGTAGGAAGTCCTTTGTCTAAGAGGGGAGCGGGTTGTGATCAATTTCGAGTTTTGACTCGAGCCTTACTGGGTTTTCTGTAATTGGAGCTTTTCTGGGTCTGGGTCGTTCAATTTTCTGGTCCGTAGCTGAGCTGCACAGGGTTTCTGTACATTGGATTCAATTGACCGTGTTGGGTCCAAATGGGGACAAATTCGAATTTCAGGAACTTCACCAACGACTTCGTTTCCTCCTCCGACTCCGGCCGGCATCAGCAGCAGCAGCAACCGATGACGCCGCTAAACTTCCCCTTAGCAAGGCAGTCGTCAATCTACTCCCTGACATTCGACGAGTTTCAGAGCACGGTGGGGGTTCCGGGGAAGGACTTTGGGTCAATGAACATGGACGAGCTACTCAAGAACATATGGAGTGCTGAGGAGAATCAGAATCAGAACATGGCTGCGGCCGCCGCCGCCGCCGCCGGAGCGCTGCCGGTACACGACGGTCTGCAGCGGCAAGGGTCGTTAACCCTGCCTCGGACACTGAGCCAGAAGACGGTGGATGAAGTCTGGAAGGTCATATGGAAAGAATACGGCACTGGAACAGATGCCGGAGCTAGTGAGGTTGTCCCACAAAGGCAGCAGACTTTAGGGGAAATGACCTTGGAGGAGTTTCTGGTGAGAGCTGGTGTCGTAAGAGAAGACAATTATAGTACTACACAAGTAGCAGTAGGAGGGAAGGTTCAGCAAAGCAATGGAGGTGGTGCTGGTGGTTTCTTTGGTGATCTTTCCAGACAAGGGAACAACAACAACACTAATAATGGTTTTGGAATGGTGGGATTGATTAGTACTAATGGTAACACTAATCCAATTCCGATGCAATCGGCATCCAACTTGCATTTGAATGTGAATGTGAATGGTGGTGTTAGATCAAATCAAGTTCAATCTCAGGTACAGCAGCAGCAGCCGTCGCCACAGATCTTTCCAAAGCAGGCTAATAATGTAGGGGGCTATGGGCTGTCACTGCAGGGGATTGGTGGTGCTAATGGATTGATGCAAGGTGGGATGGTTTCACCGGCTAGCCAGATTTCGTCAGATGGGATAGGGAAGAGCAATGGGGATACTTCTTCTGTGTCACCTGTTCCTTATGTGTTTAATGGAAATATGAGGGGTAGGAGACCTAATACTGCAGTGGAGAAGGTGGTTGAGAGGAGGCAGAGAAGGATGATCAAGAATCGAGAGTCAGCTGCTAGGTCGCGTGCTCGCAAGCAGGTAAAGAAACATGTTACTTCCTGCCATAGGATTTTGTTTTCATGGAGGCTTAACAGGTGGGTTTTTGCAGGCTTACACTATGGAGTTGGAGGCAGAAATTGCAAAGTTGAAAGAGGAGAATGAAGAACTTAAGAGGAAACAGGTTAACTTTCATGTTGGTTTCTTTGTTTGTTAAAGATGATTTTATTTGTTAGCTCTGTTAATCTATTTAGTTTTGCTGATTATGGAAGTTTTGGTTTGTTTGCTGCAGGAAGAAATCATGGAGGTGCAGAAAAATCAGGTGTGCCTTTCTGGAAGTTCTGGACCTCCAATGTGGAGCTGCCCTTTTGGTTTTTTTCTAATCCATCGAGCATTTGTTTTGATGGCGTGTGCAAACAGGTGATGGAGAATATGAGCATGGAGAATGGAGCAGGGAAGAGGAGGTGCTTGCGACGAACTCAGACCGGTCCATGGTGAATAGTTTTTCCTTTACATAGAGTAGAGAAAGAGCGAGAGGGAAAAGGTTGTTTCTTATGTGAATGAGAGAAGCTGATCTTGTGATGATGGTAGTCTGTAGTTTCAAAGTTGTTTCCATATCAATGGGTTTATAGTTGATTTGTGCATAGGTTAGCCAGACCAATCGTAGATTTAATTCATGGCCTTTATCGTTATAGGTTCGACCATCTGGGTCGATTTTACAGCTGAAAACAGATGTTAGGGTTTTTGCTGGATATATAGGCTGTAGATTCATTCTTGTTCATCCCCTTTATCCTTGTCAATGTTATATTATCATCCCTATATATCAAATCTTCATAGTCGAATCAGTGAAATAGAAAGAAAAAAAATGTTCTTTGTTTCATCCAAGTTCTGCTTCTTCTATCCATATCACATGTTGAGTGATCAGATTTACTATCAGCCAACAATATATAATTGTGGAGCTTAATTACATTGATAACGAAAACACCATTTGCTGAATACAAATGGAAAGGAGAACATACATAAAACTGAAAGTGGGGAGCCTGGATTCCGTCTACAAGTTGCCAGATTTGGAATCCATGTCCTTCCAGGATATCATCTTCCTCCTGTCCCTTCCCCTATGTGACCTGGCCAGAATCGTACCGCTGGCCGGCTTAGACAGACTGAAATCAACCACATGGGTATTCTTTTGACTTGGTGATGATGCTTCATCATCCATCAGATAGTCGAACAACATAGCAAGACGGTGAACTTGATGGGCTAAGATGTTGTTTTCTTCATCACTTGGTACAAGCTTCAGTATATTGAGGTTGACCTAACAAATCACCAAATCCAGAAAGACAAAAATTAGCTTTCACCAGTCACCACATATTACTACATCCACTCAGGCACATTCAACTAGGCTTTTAAATTGGTCACCTCTGCTTCTATCCCACGAAGTTCGTTGTACCATCGAGAGCCATTGTCACCTCCATCTTGGCTTCCTTCTGAATTAAGTAGGTCCACAGAGAACAAAGGTGGCCTAAGAGGGTACTCCATGCTGATCTCAATCTGTCATGGCACAAACAGGCAAATGCGTCAAAAGGTTTCTTAACTTATTGAAGCACGTACTTGTAATCCATAGAACTTCACGGTACCTTTGCTTTTAACTTCACATTTCTGCCTTCACCCACTGCTCTTACCAAGATAAGGGAGTACTCTTTAGCACCAAAATAAACCCAAGAATCCAAGGACAAATCAAGGCGCTGAACGGGAACCAATCCTTCAGTATCGTGCTCATTAGAGGGTAGCTCGTCATGATCACTATCGAAATCCAAAAAAGTCGGATCTATATCCTCAGCGTATTTATTAAAGCTATGTGATTTCCCCTTGCTAAACGGGGAGACTACAGTCTTCGAGATCAAACTCAGCTGCCTAGAACGCTCTGCACTGGATGATACTTTGGGAGTAGAAGTAAGCTGCTTCACATTGTTTGCCATTATAGAACCAGCTTGAAGCAAAGATGGGAGCTCCCCATCTTCCCTCAGATCTTCCGACCCTTCCTTTGAAGTACCGGTTTGTCCATCCGTGTCAATATTCATGGATTCCTCAACGTGCTCTGTATGCAAAGAGAGATGATTAGGTGGGGGTCCTATTGATGACCAACCATCCAAACTGCATAAAGAAGTATGTAGAGCCCATGGAACGCTTTCACAACTCAGAGACGGCCACTTTAGCTTCATAAGTGAATCAAGCTGCTGCCTGTAAGCCACAATCAAGAGAGTGCCAAACTTTAAACAAAAACACATTAATCAATTGATTAGTGAATAAAACATACCAGAAAAGAGGGGGCAAGACAGAGACAAACTCAAACTGAAAAATTAATGTCATAAAATGTGAAAAACTTTATTTGAATGGAGTACATGAGAAACAGTCCTATCAAGGCAATGTATTCGTAAGAGCTACAATGCCAGTTGGCCATGCAGTAACATACAGTTGATTTTCAAGTTTATCCACTCTGCGCCCTTGATCACAAGACCCCTCTAACTATATAAAGCAATGACTCACGCAAGAGCCAGCTGAGCCCTTTTCCGAGAGCGGATTCTTTGGACAATCGTCTGCACCCGATTCTGTTGTCGATATAATGATAACCCAGATACAACATCAGTTTTAGACGTTTCGTCACTTGAAGTTTCATGACTACCAAGTAACGGTGCAATCTCTGGCAAGAAATCAATTCCTGCCAAATGTTGGGCCCACTTATATGGACGAGAAGGCTTCTTTTCATCGAAGGAAAGACTACTGCCGGTAGTGAGCTTAGCAGACTGTGCTAAAACCAAATGATGACATCAATATTGGAAAATAGACAAACAATCAACAAAAAGAGAAGCACATGTTTCTGATAGTGCAAGAATGGCACAAGATATTGAGGAGATTATCTCTACCTGGTGGGGAAGTTCACTCCCAGTATCATCAGGGAATAAGTTGCATAGAATGCTGTTTTCAGCTCCCTCATGTGAACCTTCTAATCCAACACATACAACATTTAGCTTTAACAAGTATTCAAACTTCAAAGAAATGAGCTTTGCGGACTTCGGATCAGAAGGCTCATCATCAAGTACATGAAGAATGAGCTTAAGCGGGTGAACTTGATGAATCCCTGCCTGGTCAGGATTCTCCTTACTCGGCGCCCTTTTTGGTCGTTTTCTCCTTCTTTGGGCATTATCTTCATCATCAGGTACGTCATTGTCAATCCTCAAAGTCTCCACATTGGCAGGTGCACCTGAACAAATATAGCAACACCATTCAGTTTCTTCAGCAACTGCAGGATTTTCAAGGACACTGAATGCACAGCACAGTACAGAAGGTTATGAATTGAACAGCTAGCTCAGAGAAGACTTGACAAAACAATCAAACTATGGACTTACTGTTTTCTCTATTTGCTTGTTGACGAGCAAATGTTTGAGCATCTTTTAAACTCCCAATAATCTCCAAGTCAATCTCTTCCCCAAAGGCCTCCTTCTGAGCCACCAACTGTGAGTAAATCACTTAGAGTGGAGGAGGAAGCAGTTCTGCTGAACTATGTTGCTTTAGCTTCTTTGTATGCAGAACTCCTAATTGATTCTGTACAGGCAGAGATGCTTTCTTAAGCGATTTAAGGTGCGATGGCAGACTTGACAAGAATTTCTTCCTATTAGCAATCATTTCCGCTAGACTTTTCTTCTGTAACTCCAATTTCTCCCGAAGCTTGCAGAGCTCCTTCCGCTGATCTCAATCAACAACATTTTGCAATCAGAATTCCACCATGTCCAGCACAGCACTCAAGCACTCACTACAAGCGTATTACAGTATCCCAAAACCGAAAATTTCTGCTGCAGGATTACCTGGTGCAGCTCGTAGTTGAGCCTTTTGAGCATCAAATTGTGGGATCCATCGCTGGACAAGACGGAACTCTTGATATCTTCAGGCGCATCACGGAAGAATTCTTCTTCAGGGACGAGGTCAATGTCAGGATACTTGGACTTGAAGTCCTTACAAGCCTTGATAGCCTTGACGTAATGGCTGTTAGTGTTGTGGTATATGATCCACCATTGAACCTCTCCCAACAACTCGAGTTATTGGGATCAACTGGTTCTTGACATGGTATCAGAGCCTTCTGTGACCGAGAGGTCTTGTGTTCGATTCCCGGTGACCCCCATTTGTTAAGCACATGGTATTCTTGTCTTCAGACCTGTGCAAACTTCAAGCTCTTGTGACTTGTGAGTGGCTTTCGTTTGAGGGGGCGTGTTAGTGTTGTGGTATATGATCCACCATTGAACCTCTCCCAACAACTCGAGTTATTGGGATCAACTGGTTCTTGACAATGGCCCTTCTCATACATCAAGTTATGCAGCTGGAGAGTCGTGAAATCCACCGGCGCCTTCGCTTTCTCCGTCTCCATCTTCACTCGATCCTCGTGCAGCAAAATTGACCTGTTCGCCTACAAATTCTTCCCGCAATGGCGGTCAAAAGTCAAAACCCTAGACGGATAGATAAAAGAACAAAGGCGAGGGAAAGCCAAGAGCGTTTTCGGCCGGCGGCAGACCTGTCGGAGGGTGACGAAATGGAGAAACGTCTGGGTAACGAGCCCTCGTAGCTGGGATTTAGAGTTGCCGTCCTTTTTGACGGAGAGAATCTGGGAGACGATCTCCTCAACTGAAGCTTTGCTTTCGCGGAGCCTATCGTAGGCTGACTTTCCGTTCTTGAGCAGCAGCAAGTCTTCCTCCATGGCGACCGCCTCCACTATCTCGCTATCCTCCATCATCATTCCGATATAGGGGAGGCGGCTACTGAGCTCTCCGCCTTTACTGCTTCACCGGTGATCAGGCTTCGTTTACAGTGCTCCGACCATGCGAGAAAGGGCTTTTCAGCCTTTTCATTTTTCTTCTCTCTTCTGGACTCACTGGATGACTGGAAGGATGAAAGCGGCGCCGTTTAAAGGGTTGATTGACTTATTTTATTTGTTAGCTACCAAATGCTTCACAGTCGTCGCGAGAGAGTCGTATTTTAAAAGCGGGGTCGAATTCGCCTTGGTCGCGGGCGCGGCACTAGGGCTTCCGACGGTCTGTTTTCCTCTTGACTTGAGCTGACCGTCGCCGCCGCCGATGGAGGAAGGTGGATTAGGGAGGCAAAGCTTCCCTTCTATTAGAGCTCTCGGATCCCTGTTCAAGCTTACTAAAGTCTACATATGGTTCCCCACTTCCTCCGTTTTCCCTTTTTGCGAATTCCTTCCCCAGAAAACTTACACTTTCATGCTTCGTTTTAATCGAATTCGATTTCTTTCTGCAGGGACGACGGCTCGACGGAGAAGATAGACGTGTCCTTATTCCCCCAATCCATTGTAAGTTACCTCGTATGCGGACTAGCAAATGCTGTGTCTAGAGCTCCCTTCTGCGTCTATTGAATATCTGGTTTCAGTTGCGGCGGCAATTTTAAATATTTTTGTGTGTTCTCTTATCAACGGTGATGAGTTCTTTATCAATTTTGTTTTCATGGGATGTAGGAATCACCTCCGAAGAATGACGATACCAGCTCCGAGAGTCCTGCCTTAACAACTACCGGTATGTAGTTGAAGTTGAAAGGAACTCACAGCGTGAGATTTCTATTATTGAAGTTCAACTTTTATAGTACAATAAGAGGTAACTGAGCAGCGGATATCAAGTAACAGCAAAGAGCAAATAAAGGAGGACAGCAACGGTCCACTACAACAGACTCAACAACAAGGGAGAAACTTGTGGAGCATTCTCCTCATCATCACGCCCCCGCAAGTTGAGGCTCGGTGAGTCGAAACTTGGAGCAAAACCGGGTGAAGGCTACACGAGGCAGAGGTTTGGTGAGCACATCAGCTAGTTGATCAGTCGCAGGAAGATAATGAACACGGAGTTGGCCCTTGCTTACTTGATCACGAACAAAGTGGAATTCAATCTCCATATGTTTAGAACGACTGTGAAACACCGGATTGTGGGCGAGGAATGTAGCGCCAAGGTTATCACACCATAGGACCGGAGGAGAAGGAATAGACTGGCCGAGTTCGTGAAGTAAGGTACGCAGCCAGAGAACTTCGGAGGCTAGAGTGGCCAGCGCGCGATACTCGCATTCTGTTGATGAGCGAGCGACCGCCTTTTGCTTCCGAGTGGACCAGGAGACAAGGTTTGACCCGCAGAAAACAGCAAACCCGGTAATTGACTTGCGATCCTTTGGACAACTCGCCCAAGAAGAGTCAGAGTAACCATGGATATGAAGAGATGAAGACCCAGAGAATTCCATACCGCGATCAATAGTGCCCCGGAGATATCGTAGAATCCGCTTGACAGCAGCCCAGTGAGTGTCAGTAGGGGCATGTTGATACTGAGAGACATGATTGACAGCAAAAGAGATGTCCGGCCGTGTGAAACTAAGGTATTGGAGACCACCAACCAGACTTCGATAGAGAGATGGATCAGCAAAAAGAGGGGAGTTGTCCTGGGCAGCCTGCTGAATGATGTCGAGGGTGCAGGGAGTTGAGATAGAATTGGCGGTAGACATATGTGCACGGTCGAGCAAGTCTAGTATAAACTTGCGTTGGCTGAGAACAATGCCGGAGGAAGTCCGTTGAACCTCAATGCCCAGAAAATAAGACAGAGGACCCATCTCACGGAGGGCAAAGTTGTCTCGAAGAAATACCATCAGCCGCTGAATAGTGGAGTCGTCATTCCCGGTGATGACAATGTCATCGACATAGACCAACATATAGAGGCGCACGGACGAGGATTTGTAGATGAATAGAGAGGGATCAGTACGCGAAGCTGAGAAGCCGAACCTGCCGAGTGCTGCTGCCAGACATTGAAACCAAGTCCGGGGCGCCTGGCGCAAACTGTAAATCGATTTGCGAAGTCGACAAACATAATCAGGCCTGTCGGGGTCAACAAATCCCGGTGGCTGCTGCATATACACAGTTTCCTGCAGCTGTCCATGAAGAACAGCATTAGCTACATCAATTTGGTGAAGAGGCCATCCCTGTGTCACCGCAAGGCCAAGAATGAGACGGAGTGTGGCCGGTTTGAGAACCGGGCTGTATGTCTGATCGAAATCCAATCCTGGGATTTGCTCGAACCCACGAGCAACAAGCCGAGCACGATGGCGATTGAGACTGCCATCAGGATGAACCTTCGTGCGGTACACCCATTTATTGGAGAGGATGTTACAATCTGGCGGCGCAGGAACCAAGTCCCAGGTATGATTTCGGATTTGAGCAGAGACTTCGTCGGCCATTGCGGCGCGCCAGTGGGGAAGACGGAGGGCTTGAGCCACGGTGCGAGGTGTATCATCAGTGGGAAGGTGGGAGAGGAGGGATTTGGGTTTGAGGTTGCCGGTTTTAATCCGGGTGACCATCGGATGGAGGGAGCTGGTGGGATTGGTAATGTGGAACTCACAGCGTGATATCAAGTAACAGCAAAGAGCAAATAAAGGAGGACAGCAACGGTCCACTACAACAGACTCAACAACAAGGGAGAAACTTGTGGAGCATTCTCCTCATCATCAGAAGTCAGCACGGTGAACATATTTCGAGTTTTTTCACGCGGAGTCTTCAGTGCATTATGTCAATAAAATGTTCGACGATCTGCCTCTGAAATGATGATATTTCATTGGTCTTTTTTTATTCAGATTTTGGTCCCTCCACAGAGGATGATGAATTGAGCAAACAGATGGATGCTCTAGGGCTTCCTCTTGCTTTCCAATCGAATAAAAAGGTTTGTTGTTCTGATTAACCTGTAGTGATTGTTAGTTTCCTGTGTGCGCGTAAAGAAGTAGCTCCATAAACATGCTAGGAAATTTTCATGCTTTGTAGGCTGATTACCCGTGGATTGATGTGGGAAATTTTGAACAAATCCTATGTTACTAATTTACCAACTGGGTAAATCGGAGAACTTAGATCAGGATTGCTGGAATGACATAGGTGCATCCTTGTGGGTGTCTGCTTTCAGTAATATTCTTTAGAAATGATGCAACTTTACTGGCATGCTATCAAAATTGGTGTTATTTCCGACCACTGAAGATTGCTTCCATTATATGACTGACTTTGGCAGACGATGAATCACACCAAGAAAGGCAAAAGAAAAGGGGCAGTCATGAAGCATTCTCGTGATCATGACACTACTGCTATTGCATCATTGGAAGTTTCCAAAGTGAGTGAAGCAGGGACTGAATCTCCTACTGTTTTGCGTGCTAATGAAAGCAATTCTATATGTTGCATATCAATGCTGGGTATGAGTGAGTCATGTTACTATGATGTTGCAGTGGACACCAGCAATTCTAAAGATCTATGTGTTGAAGATTATGAGTCCAACTAAGGTTCCTCCCGAGTCGATCTTTCTTGATCAGTGTGGTGAATGTGAGATGGGTCAGACTGTATCAGGAACTGATCATATGACTAATGATGAGTATGAGAAAGACAATACAATTTTGGACAATTCTGATGCCGCGAATCCAGACATTGCTGATGGTCTGAAAGAAGTTGTCAATTTGATGGAGATGGATTGCATACATGGCTACCCTGTTGTTAACGATCTTCAAGAATGCGAGAATCGAATGGAGTGGCCTGAAGCTTCTGAGGCTGCAATGCTCCAGCGTTCAGAAGTGCTTGGGGATAATGGGATAGAGAGTCATGACCAGAATGGTGCTTTTGGAGATTGGGTGGTATACTGGGATTCTTTCTACAAGAGGAATTACTTCTATAATGCAAAAACAAATAGTTCTACATGGTCCCCACCACCAGGAACGGAGCATCTTGCATTCAGTAGTCTTACTAATGAGGCATATGAAGTGATCACTGGAGACTATGAGATAGGTGATGACCCTTCTGTTTCCTGTGGCTTGCTGAAGTGTTCCGGATTATTTGAGGAACCTGCGAATGATAGTAGAATAGCAGATCAGCCATCTAATGAGGTCTGTGTTGGGGATGAGCTTGCTTCTGAAGGAACTTTGCCAAGCTTGACTTTCTCGACTGTCAATGGCTGTTTGGAGAATGATGGTGCACAGAAGGGGACTGATAAAGGTTGTCTTGGTGATATTTCTCAGCAAACAGCATTGGAGGAACTTGGGCATATTGACAGGTATTAATAATTCATGGTTTATCTCATTTTGGTGGCCTTGATTTCATATATGGGTTAGTCTATTGTTATCTAGTTACCACTGCTGTAGCAATTATCTCTAAGAAGCAATGATAAATGTTAATAGCTACAATTATCCTCATGCCTTGTACGCCAAAAATGCTGAAATATGTCTTGTTTCCATCTCGCTAGTGTGATCAGTGACTAAGTCACTGTGAATCTTGACCAGCATGAGGAACATGAAGACACTAAGACTGAGCTGGACACAGAACCTGATTTTCTGGTTATCAAAAGATATAGGAAAGGAAGAAGGAAGAGAGCACGTTGTTGATCTGCCAAGGATAGTGAAGGTCAATTGCCTCTCCCTCCCTCTCCTGGTTGTTTCAGCTTCTACCATTTCTTGTTCTTCTTGTGATTCATTGCATAAATAATTAGATTGCCTGTAAAATCAATGTTATTTGTAGTGCATTGGTTTTCATGCTGTAGAAATGGCCTCTGTAATTTCATTCAGGTTGATAATCATGTATTCAGCATGTGCTTACAATCCACAAATGCAGAATTCCCAGACTATCAGAAGTTACTGTTGCTAATCACAGTCAGTGCCTTGACAGACCACAAGCCTTCCATTACTTGCCAAGACAAAAGTTCTGAATTTCCATATATGTCATAATGAAACGTGAATCAAGTAAAACAATGTGGAGGTCTAAGCTTGTAATTAAGTTGAGGTTATTGTGTGACATATCAGTTCTATACTTTGTTTAGCGGTGCCATTTCTTGGTGATTCAGTTTTCTTATGATCACTGGTTTGCTTTGAACAGATCTCCGAAGTCAAGTTATTTCGGAGGAGCTTTCTGCCGCTCTACAGAAATACTGGTGTCAGCGATACCTTCTATTCTCTAGATTTGATGATGGTATAAAAATGGACGAGGAAGGGTGGTTTTCTGTAACACCTGAGCTGATAGCTGCGCATCATGCTCTCAGTTGTGTTGATGACATTGTCATTGACTGCTTCACCGGAGTTGGTGGAAATGCTATCCAATTTGCTCAATGGTTCGTGCTTTGTTCTCTCGTCTCTTTATCGCAAAGTTACTTTTAATGGATAGAGTTTCCTAATGATGTAAGATTATCCTCTTGTCTATTGTTTCACATAAGTTATGGCAATTATCTGGAGAACTATGCATTGATGCTTCTTGGATGTGAAGGATTTCTCAGAATATAAGATCTTCTTAAGATGGCAAAGGTTTATTAGATATGTATCTGACTTCTAGCGCTCTTGTTGCTCGTTTTTTCTTCTTCTTCTTCTTCTTGGTATATCTCAGGTGCCAACATGTTATTGCTATCGATATAGATCCGAAGAAGATAGACTATGCCCATCACAATGCTACCATCTATGAAGTTGATGACCATATAGATTTCATAAATGGAGACTTCTTCAATTTGGCACCAAAACTGAAGGTAGTAAAATCATAACTTTTGGGACATTGACGAGTTTGGCTTTCTGGCTTGTATGGTAGGATATAGGTGTTTAATGTGTTTTCTTTCTACACATTTTACCTATATAAACCTTGAATTTTCAGGGGAATTATGGCTTCTACATGAAAACTACCTATGGTACTTTTCTGTTCCCCCCCCCCCTTTTCCAGTTCTTGTGAGGTTTAGACTTTCATGATTTATCTAGAATTGGTACACTTGCTGCTTGAGGATTGGTACACTTGCTTTGGTGACTGTTCTAGAATTGTTGAATTCTTTCGTGAAGGGAGCAAGGGCTGTATCTCTGATCTTAAGAAAGAACTATCACATAGGTTGTTATAACAACGAATAATTAGTATGTTATATTAGTTATTTCAGTTGCATGTGTGCTTTCTCATTTGCATTAGTTATTTGCATACCCATGTGTGGTTTCTCACTGTGCTGTTCCCCTATGCGATACCTTTCTCTTTTGCAGGGGTTGGCTGACACTGTGTTTTTGTCACCACCATGGGGTGGACCGGATTATGTTAAAATGAAGACTTATGACATAAATATGCTTAAACCGCATGATGGGTATTATGTTGTTTTGAACTTTTTGTATCCCTAAACTCAAGTAGCTCTTTACCCACTCTGATCTTCTGTTTACTTGTCAGGTATTTGCTCTTCAACACTGCAAAGCAAATTGCGTCAAAATTTGTAATGTTCCTCCCAAGAAATGTTGATCTAGATCAGTTGGCTGAGTTGGCTCTATCTGCTAATCCTCCTTGGTCTTTAGAGGTACCTACATCATCACCTCCCCAATCCCCTTTTCTTTGCTTCACTTTGCAGTTCCCCTAACGCTTACATTGACTCTCAATTAACTGTCTCTAGTTTAGAAAACAATGCATTTTCTAACTATGCCTACTTTTTCTTGGACCTCAAACTTAACTTTCTTGCTCGGCTTAGTATTTGTTGAAGCTGGGAGAAACCATGTATAACACGACTTTCATTGCTTCCTCAACTATTTGCGCTCTTTGCTAAAGATACAGTTGCCATGGTTCCAGGTAGAGAAGAACTTCTTGAATGGCAGGTTGAAAGCAATAACAGCTTACTTCCGCGACACAGCAGTTCATGGACATTAAACCCCCCACTTGATTCAGCAGTGACCTTGGCAGAAAGTAGTCAATATGTGTTGAGATCTACGGATAACAATTAACAAGTAGCAGGTGAAGGTCAGTGATAGTAGGCTAGTAGCTTGGTTAACGTATACACTTATGTTAGAAGCTATTATGTTACTTGTTGTAAAGGAAACTAGGACTCCAACCAAATATCGCAAGAGTTGACACAAAGTAGTTAGCTGAAGCTCAGTTGCAGCACACAGCTGGGTCAAAGTTCTTGGAAAGCCGCCAACCTTACGGAATCATCATTGTTCAGCTTACAAGCAAACCAATCCATCGGAAAACCAAGGTAGGCCATTGGTGTAACTTACATGCTCTTCATGTGAGTTTCTGATAATCAAAATGTCAATGTCAGGCAGGGGAAGGAGGAGGTAGTCAGGCTGTCTTCATGGCAGGTACAACCAAGTGTTTAAATTCCCGCCGATTTCCCGCCGAATTTGCTATCTTCTGTTCTTCATAGGCAGTTTCCAAGTTTTGTATTTCCTAGTGCCTCCATCTAGTTTAGTTGAGATTTTCTACAAGCTCGAAGTTGTACAACTACCCTACTTCCTATGTGTGGCTAAGATATTTTTTTTTAAGGGTGATATAGGTTTATTTTTTTGTGATTAAAGTACTACTTAAGGGATTTGAACCTGGGACCTCCAGGTTCTAGACTAGTGGTATTACTACTAGACCAAGTTCTTGTTCGTATGTGTGGCTAAGATATTAATATGGATCGATATGGGTTGGAGCTTAGATGGTCAACTAACCTTCTTCTGTGATTCCAATTTCCATCAGTTGTTATTGTTAACTTTAACCTTCTAGGCCTTTTTTCATTGATAGATATAGTGATAAACAGAATAAAATAACAGGTTTCATTTTTGAAAGTAGCTAAGCTATTAGTGCAATTACATACGTAGGTAAACCAATGAATGGTTAAGGAGGCGTGAAGTAAACCGAAGCAGCTAAACTATCAAGATGAGTTTTTTTGGAGTCCTCTAAAGCCAAGCCCTTAAGGCATGCTAAGCTAGCTCACTGTTAGATTTCAGGTACTACCCATTGCAGCAAAACCCTGGTTTGCCAAGTTACCTACCTATTCCTGAAATTTCCAACATTTCCCCGTAACGGTTGCAGCACAAAATGATGGTGTACGCTTGTGGCTATGTTATGTATATCAACAATTCTTTAGTGGAGATGCATAGTTTACTTCGTTTGTCCACTGCGTGATCCTTTTTTTTTTTGTCAGAGTGTCAGTTTGTAAGAAGCAGGGTGTTAGAAATCTCAACTTCACGGAACACATAATTTCCAGAACCATTACCTCAATACCTCGCACGAGTATAGACATGCTTGGCTCGAAATTGTAAAGCTCACTCGGATCGAAATCATTTTTAATCATCAAGGCATGCATGAACCTCTACCGTGCTCGAGTCTAGAGCCCTAAACCCTGAGAATACATCATTTCGCGAGAAGAAAAATCAATAACTGCACAAGTTAGAAAGATCTGTGTTGACCACCTTATTATTCAGGTGCTCATACAAATAATCCTGTTATGAATTCAATCCTGCTATGTTCTAATATTCCATTGAGTTTAGGTACCCATGATTTCTTAATGTTATGTATCTAAAGGACGCAGAGAAGTAGTATTCATATCAATCCTAGCTAGCATAATCCAATCCAAGACGGTCTATCGTTAATGAGCATCTATTGGCATTATGACTGTTCTAAAACTCAGCCGTGATGGAACCCACAAATCCAGACCATGGCCCTCTGGACCTCAGGGGGGTATGGAGCCCGCAAATCATTTCCAAATTCCAACCATGAGAACCTCTGCCATGTTCGAGTCCAGAGTCCTAAATCCTGATCATAATACATAATTTTCACGAGAGGAGAATACAAAATAGTAATCAAAATAACTGCAACTGATCTTCTGCATTGGCATTACTATCGTGGTATCCAAGGTGATTAATCCTGATGGTGAATAAGCTTTTTCTCCCGGTTATGAGCATCTGGTGGGCGCAGAGACGAAGGCCAGGATCCCAATCTCGTACAGTTGTCATAATCCTGAGGGCAGTGATTGGCTAATCCTGGCATCATTAGCCCTAACACCCTAAACACTCTCATCAACCAAGTTTCTCTGAACTCCCTCCCTCTTATGTATGGAAACATGAAACTCCTCATCAACTCCCACACCGCATTCAAAACCTTGGGCACCACCCACAACGGTGAAAAGTAGTTCTTATTTGGCTCCTCCACCATAACCTTGACTTTGTAGCAGCTGTTGTAGAAGAGGGTAGGCCCAAAATGCTTGTAAAACAGAGTCCTGTCATCGTAAGGCAATCGGGGCACCACATCATTCCCGTAAACAAACCTCATGTACTTGATCTCATACTCCTTCAACTTCCCTTCCATGTACCCACCAAACTCCGCGTCCCCGACTCGCGGCTGCCCGAACGTGTACACACCTTCCAGCCTCTCCAGCAGCTCCGCCTCTCCGTGCAGCGCGAGTACCCCCACGAACAGAATCGCCAACGCGCCGCCCAGGCTGTGCCCCGTCAGCACGAACTTGGAGTCTGCATCCTTCTTCATTTCCTCCTTCAGCATTGCTCTCAGGGAGTAGTACGCGGACGGTGGGTGGGTTGAGGCGGGCCCGTTATCTTGTGGTGGGCTGACTAGTTCGATGGGCCAGCCGGTTTTTTGGAGGCCCAGGGCCTTCATGAAGCCCGCGTGGAGTTTGCCGACGCCTTGGATCTGGTACCAGGAGAGGTCCACGTCGGTGCACCAGGCGGCGGCGTCGAACGGGGAGGTGCCGCGGAAGGCGATGATTGTGAGGTTTGGGGCTGAGGTGGTGTCTTTTAGCATTATGGCTTGCGTTGACGCCTCTCCTTGGTACTCTGGTTATTAATTATTATTAGTGGAGGGTTAGCGTAATATATAATCACAAACAATTAATCAGGAATAAATCAATCGGATCAAATACTACAGTAAACACAGTCAGCACTCGTAATGAAGAAATAGAGTCAACAGACTGTTAAACAACTTATGCGTTAATTGCCAGAAGTCAACACCTTGGGTTCCATTTCCACTCTCCTTTTGGTAATTTCGAGATTATGGCATAGATTATTAGATCACCAAAGCATTATTTTAAATTTAATTGCGGATTACTCACATCGAGAGTTTCTGATTGATGACACAAAATTAGACATTAATTAGTCGTGTGGTGCAACACCCTATTTTAGCTGGCGACGCAAGCAAGATTAGACGTTGGTGGAAGCCTGGAAGGAATCCCATAGAGGGTGCCGACATATTAGTTTTTATTTTTGTATGTAATTGAATAATTGTTTTCTTTTTCTTAACAAAATCCAAACGTATCAAGAAGTTAATTGACAAAATCCAAACGTACCATATAAGTTGTATCACAAAAATGATTCTCTATAAGATTTTAATTTATAAGTAAATGAAAATGAAATAGATTAGAACATAATCATATATGTTATCCACCGTAAAAGAAAAGCGATAAAAGTATAGAAGTCTTACCATTCCAAAAGTTGTAGAAGCCGATGAATTCCATCTGGTTACGATCCAATTAAGACACACAATCAGTTGAGTTGATGATTAGTCTTTAATTAAAAATGATTACGAACTCAAAGGGTTAATTTTGTTCCATATGTATATATATGCATTGTTATTAATTACATCTACTTACCTTCCAACAGTCTTGGACGACGGACTTAACAAAGGCTTCATTCTCGTACGACAGCTTGGCAGCCATTAGGGACAAGACAGCCTTGTATCTCCGATGACCCGGCCTGACGTTCTTATCCATCTCTACTCTCCGGTCAAGGTTCCCGATCAACGACGTAAACTCCGACGACGACCTCTCCGGCCACACAACCTTCCCTGCAGCAAAATAATTATTTACCACATTAATTCCATGTACGTACATCTTTTTTTAACTGAATTACCAACTAGCTTTACTTCTCTATTGTAATTTTTTTTCATATATGTTTTAATTTTGTGATTAAGGTACTATTTAAAAATTCGAATTTAAAACCTCCAAGTTCTAAACTAGTGATATTACCATTAGACCAAACCCTTATTCGTTTCTGTTTCTCAATTGTAATTTAACTAATCATCTTCATATGAATCATATTAAACAAATATGGTTAGTTGATACTTGATAGGGTCCAAATTAAAGCAAAAATTCACTACAGCGGTACAACCGGCTCAAGATAGGGTGCATAACCATGGGTTATGCATCCATCAATAACCAAATCTGGACCCTTCATTTAGAAAATGCAGATCTAAGGATGGAGAATTAAAGACTATTTTTATTTTCACTAGCTTTCTTAATTGACTCATATCTTTTTCGTTTTAACTCAGATTTTTTTTTTGCACGGATGGAACGAGTTCACCGTGCTCTACAAAATGAGATCAATTTTCAATATTTTTATAGGAAAAAAAATTCTGGCCTCTCGGTACCAACTGCATACCATATGGTATCTTCTTCGTTTTTAATTCGTTTTTGAAAACGTTTGTACAGCACGGATGAGTTCATTATGATCTAGTGGATCTACAAATTTCTGGGTGAACAAATTACAGGACGAAAAAATACCACACAATACCATACAATACCACCCTAGTACGGGGTGGTATTGTATGGTATCTTCTTCGTTTTTAATTCGTTTTTGAAAACGTTTGCACAGAAGGGACGAGTTCATCATGATCTATTGGATCTACAAATTTCTGGGTGAACAAATTACAGGACCAAAAAATACCACACAATATCATACAATACCACCCTGGTACGGGGTGGTATTGTGTGGTATACAATGTTAAAAATCGTAAATTACAATTAATATACTTCTACTATCATGTATTCAACCATCCTATAGTATTGGTTTGTTCTTACCACCATGGTACGTTTTTCAAAACATTGTTATGCTTTTATTTCAATACCAGTCAATACCATATGGTATAGGCTGGTAAAAAATGGCTCAATTTTTTTTTGTTCGAAAAATATATTAAAGTGGATATCATTTTGAAGAGCACAATTAATCTGATCTAACTGTGCAAAAAAATTAAATTTTGACTTAAAATGAGGGAGAAATCATCCGTCAAAAATTAAAGAGGGAAAAATTAAAGACTTTCCATGAGAGAGAGGATGCTGATGTCATGCTGATGTGGACGGGTTACTCATGGTTACTCACCATAAGGTTACTCACCTGATCCATTCCCGGTACAACCCTACTATACGTAATTTATTGATAATCTCGATGAACTATAAGTAAAAATAACGTATAAGTATAATTATAAATAACTTACTAACATAATTATGTATTTATTAATTATTTACTAGTACTATTAGCTATTGAACTGATATGGTACGTTAGGGGTCTTTAATTAATAATATTGAATCACGCACACACATACCGTTTAGGAGTTTGAGCAAGAGCTTGAGAAGACCGCCATTGTTGGACAGCAAGTTGAGCCACAGCTCCAGTCCCCTGCCGATTCGCTCCATCGGCTGCCTCGATCGACGGAACAACTTTTGTGCGGCGACGGAGATGAAAATGAGCCATCTCGGATGGAAATCAGCTCCCTGCGGTCGTCGGCCGCCGGAGCAATCGATGAAATCCCTGCTTTCCACGTCGGAGGAAAATAAGAGGAGAATGAGATCCCACAATCGGGCTTCCTCTGGTTGCAGTAACAATCGACCCAGACAGCTTGGTTGCTCATTGTCAGGATCACTGTTAAGTACTACTTCTCCATCATCGTCGTTAATCATGTTCTGATCATGCTCGTCAGCCATTGTTTTATTTTGGCTTTGAAGCGAATCAACGAGGTGACTCAAATCGGGAGAAATGGGGGAAAATAAAAGGAAACGAGAAAGGGAGAGATATACTACAAGAGTTAGCTTTTATGGTAGATTATTGATGTCTATATATATATTATCTGTTTATTATTTAATCTTGGGAGTTCTAGCTTAGGACCAAACAACATTTGTAAAACAGTTTCTGGGTTATTAATGAGATTTATACAGGTCACACAATCTGATTTATGGGATAATATATTTTATTTGGAATGATGAAGTGGGCAATTAAATCAGGGCTGTGAAGCAGCATGTTCGTGGAGTTAATTTGGGAATTAGTTTAATTAATTATATGTTTGTCAACTATATATATGATGATGATGATGACAGGAGAAAAAGGAAAATCTTAAGCAATTAGTGGGACAATAATGTGGAATTGATTTGAATGGAGACAACGACAGAGTCACTATCCCTTGGATTGAAAGGAAAGCCATTGCCACCTGATAGAGAAGAGTTTCCTTTTCCAGTAAGCAAAGAAAATCCAGGGTAATCCACCAGATTTGTTATTTCCTTGGCGTGTTAATTTAGTTAATGGTTGGTATATATAGAGCTAAAATCCATCACTAATTCAACATTAGACGACTAGTTCACTGCTACAATATGGAAGGTAGTGACAGATTAGAGAGAGACACAAAGAAAAGAAAGGGTATTGGGGACTTAACTTCTACCCCATGCTCCACAACCAGTATTACTCATTTGTGTTAAATGTGTGTTTGTTTGTTCCTAAGATGATTAACTTTTTCGTGGAATACTAGCTAAACTATGACCTTCATAATCTGTAACACTTACAATAAGGTTTAGGTCACGTTCTAATCTAACAACTACAAGTGATAAACGAGGTACAAGGATTGAAATACCATACCGTACTGGTGGTTCGATCAGAAAAACCTCCTACCATAGGTTAAACCGGTAGGCGATATTTAACGATATGAAGCGGTTGAACCATGATTAAACTATAATTTTAGCATAAAATATCTTGTTGCTGACTATTCCGGTACAATTCCAATACGGTATTTCAATCCTTGCTTTCAACAATATAAAAAATTTTGGGCCCATGGAAGAAGGATTTGAAGCAAAATATGTAGTGAACAAATGGGCTGGAAGAACATGTAGAGTTGGGCACGTTGGTTCTTTCAATTTACGAGATGGAAGTAAGGAGCCCAGCCAACTCGGGCTGAAGTTTGCTTTATGGGCCGGGCTACGGCGAGCCGAAGAGAAATGAGAGCGGATAACTTTGGGAGAGATTTCTACAATCTTGGAAGCAGGAACGAGTTCCAATCCTTCATGGGGTGGCGTAGTGTTCTTTTTGGCCGGGATCTACTTGCTCGGGGTCTTCGTAGGCAGGTTGGAGACGGTTTTTCCATTCAGGCTCTCTCTGATCCTTGGCTTCCAACCTCTCCACCATCCATTCCTAAAAAACGGTTAGGTGCTCCAACTGCTTTTCCTTTTGTTGCTGCCTTCATTGATCCTGGTTCTAAATCTTGGAATGTCCACATGCTGAAATTATATTTTGAGGATGCTACGGTTCGTATGATTCAAGGGATCCCTCTCGCATGCCAAAGAATCACTGACAAACTGATATGGCATTATGAAGCTTCAGGGCAATTTTCTGTAAAATCAGCCTATTACTTGGCGAGTAATTTACAGGGCCGTTCTTATTCATCCAAGCATCAAGCTTCTTTTATGGATCATAGTTTGTGGAATTGGGTTTGGAATAGGAAAGTCCCTCCTAAATTGCTTTTCTTCTCATGGAAGGGTATTCATAGAATCCTTCCTACTAGGGAGGCTTTGGTTGGGAGAGGATTGGACTTAATCCCAATTTGTTCGGTGTGTGGCCGAAAAGAAGAAACAATTGAGCATCTTTTTTTTACTTGCTTGGTGGCCCGTAAGTTGTGGAGGTTACTGGGTTTTCAGGAGCTTTGGAGACGGGCGGAGAAACGTTCTTTTACAGGTTTTATCAGAAATACGCTGAGCAAAACTAATGGTTCGGATTCAGATTATGTCATTCTGCAGGTAATTTGTTTGTTCTGGAGGCTATGGAAGAATCGTTGTATGGTGGTTTTTCAATTCGAGCAGCTCTCTCTCGATGTTCTTGCTCATCAATGGTCTCATCAAGTTAAGGAAGTGGAGCAGGCTCTTTTATCTCCTACCCCAGAACCAAGGTTGTCAGCTTCGCTGCCTGTGCAGGTCTCGACTGCAACACCAGGAATTCAGGTTACTTTTGATGCTGCTACTTCCAATTGTGGGTTTGGGACGATTGGTTTTGTTCTCTTTGATTCTACAGGTGGAGTCATTGGGGCTGCAGCTCGGCGGTATGAAGCAATTAGTGATCCCTATGTGTTGGAAGCCCTAGGCTTGCGGGATTGTATACTTGATTGCTGCAGACGTGGGCTCCGAACCATATCATTTTGTGGAGATGCGAAATTAATCATTGACAAATGTGTGGCAAGAGATGCAGCGGACAACAAGATTGGTGCCCTGTTGCAGGAGATATTTTTACTCTTGGATGGGATGGATGTGGTTGATATTCAGTTCATTGGTAGAATTCGTAACAGAGCGGCTCATTGTGTAGCCCGTCATGCTCTGCTTTTGTCGCCTCAATTGTTTGCGAGGTTCGACTTCTGTTCTTGGCTTTGTTCTAGGGGAGCATAACCCCTTTTGTCCCCATGTATCTAAACGATTTTCTCTTCTGTGATCTAATGGAAAAAAAAACTTTGGGAGAGATAGAGAGCATGAGTTTGTGTAGGAGTGGGCATGTGGGTGGTTGATTTGCGGAGTGATATCGATTCATTCGCAAATAAGTTGACCTGTAAGCAGTGAGTGATTGATGCGGGTGGATTGCGAATTGATAAATCTCCCACCCGCATTTACGTGGGTGGGTGGTGGGTGTATTGCGAGTCACCCGAATGACCCGCATCCTATTTTCACATACAAAAAATGTAATTTTGACTACTATTATTGGTTATTATGTTGTAAAATATCCATTAGATATTGGATATTGGAATGCAAATTATTGTTAATATCCATTAAATATTGGATGAAAACTTTAAATGATTTATTTTATCAAAATAAAAAAATGCGTAAGTTTTCTCTACACTATTGGTTGATAGAAAGGTAAATTTTTTATGCAAATAATACATGGATTCACTTGAGAAAAAATTAGAAGTGTTTAAATTGATATAGTCTTACTAATTTACTATGAACTTATTATATATTTTAGTCAACTATCTAAATAGCTAGTTGGAGATTTGCTTTTGCGGGTTAACCTAGGGGTGGCTATTTGGTCCGGACTGTTTGGTTTTACCCAAAACCTGACTGTATAATCCGGACCGGGACCGGACCGGGACCGGACCGGGACTGGATAGCAAACAATCCAATCTCATATTCGGGCTTAGATTTGAGGTTAAAAAACCGGATAAAGACCGGATAAGAGACCCCAACACCCAAAATTTAACCAACTCCTCACCCTTTGAGACCTCGGGCCACTCAAATTCCCACAAGTTCAATCTAAAATCAAGATAAAATTGGGAACGGACCGGGTCAAGACCGGACTGTATCCAATCCAATTTTTGGTCCTTATATTTCCGAAAAGACCGGTCTGGGACCGAATCAATTCGATCCAATTTAACCGGACCGGACCGTATAACCACCCTAGGTTAACCCACGACCCAACCGCACTCATCCGCCACCCACCCACCCAACTCGAATCACAGAAGAATGTGGGTGGATTGCGTGTCACAATTATTCCAACTCGTTAGTAAGTGGGTGAGTCAATTTGAAACGAGAAACCCACCCAACCCGCCCATTGCCCACCCTTAGTTTGTGGAGTGAAATATGGGTATGCCTAGAGTCCTAAATGGGCTAAGTCGAGTTTATTTTGTCAAGTTTAAATTTGGCTTCTTTACTAAAATCTAGACCTATCTTTGTCTCGAGTTTGAGCTCAATCATAACAAATTCTATTCTAATTTGGCTCATCAATAAAATCATGAGTTCAACTCGAATTCAAATAATTTGTTCTAAATAATTGAACTCTGAAATAAACTCTAAAATAATTTAGAAACATAAAAAATATATAATTTAGAACCAATTTTTTTTATAATCAAATTTAGAAACATTAATGTTACAATGAAATAAGAATAATATTCAAATTTTCATCACCAAAGAGCTGGGCACACTGGTTGGTTCAATTTACTAACAAGTGTAAGGAGCACAACTACGTTGGGATGGAGTTTGCTTGATTGGGCGGGCAACGGTGGACTGTGGGGCAAAGCTAAATGCGAGATGGAGAATTTGGGAGAGTGTGAAATTGAGATGATAATGTTTAATTTCTCAGACATAAAAAGTTTTTAATTAATCATGTTGTTTATAGATGTTTATTTTTAATGTTCAACAATTTGTAGTTTTCTTGTATGTTTTATATTGATGTTTTTAGTATGAATAAATTGTATGGGTAGATTGAAGTTGGACTTTTATTTTGATAGGAACTTGTTATTGTGCATTTTTTACCACAGAACACATATGTATCCATGCACTCGTGGATATCCACTAGGTTGGGTTGGGTTTGAGAATTCCAAACCCATTGGGTTTTACCATGCGTCTTTTTTACGGATAAACCAATGTGTTTGAGTTTGGCAAAACCCAACCCAACTAAACCCATTCCCATCCTTAAGGGTATGTTGAGTGAAATATGAATATGTTAAGTCAAGTTTGAACTTTGTTTGTTTATTAAAATTTTGGTTCATATTCGTCTCGAGCTTAACTCATTAATGAGATCACTAGCTCTCGAGTTGATCTCATAAATAAGATCATGAGTTTGGTTCGAGTTCACCTTATTTATTCTAAATAGTTGTACCCTAAACCTAAACTCTAAAATAATTTATAAATATAATATTTGTATGTTGTGTAAGATATATGTAATTGATGTCGTGATGGAAAAAAGAATAATCGTCAAATTTTCATCATTAATTGATCCCATATTTATATACTGTGCAGACATCATATTATTTAGTTCATAAACTATACTATCTTTGGTAAGTAGTGAGTGCAAATTGAGGGGAAAATTGTTATTTGGATGAGAAGATAGGAGGAGCAATATGGTGAAAAGAGAGTAAATTATACTATAATAAAATAGATATATGAATTTTATAAAAATATAAAAACTATATTATAATCATAAATAATATCAAATATAATTTAATAAAAATAATTATTAAAACAATAATCCTTTTATAGTAATTAATCGTAATCATTAATCGAGCAACCCCGAAGCTCAAAGCCCAACCTATGGCCAAGACATATGACTAGCTCATATCTCCCACTCAAGCGTTGGTATGTTGACCTGGTGATCTCGATTTGACTAGATGAAGCTTGATAAACGTGCTCCTAGAGTCAAACGGTGAACCCAAACTAGGTAGGGTGTGCAATAGTTCAGTCTGGTCCGAACCGTGGTCCAATAGTGATAAACATTTTAGGACCAAAGGTCGGATCATTATTGCATTCGGTCCTATTTGGTCAGTTCCAAATGTCAAATCGGTCCATTTTTCTTTGGTATTTACACGACACTTCTTATGTATACTTTTCAACGCAAATATGAGTCAACCAAACATTCTCTCGTTCTACTTTTTCCATAACCCTTCTTCTCTTTATTTTTCAACGCAAATCTGAATCAAACTTCGTTAAACAAATTAAGAGATTGGAGCCAATTTGACAAAATTGTGATCCATGGAAAAATTTTATTTTAATTATAACTATAATATTAAAATATATTATAAATATTTTTTTTACGATTCAATAGTAATTATAGTATTTCTTACTATCTAAATAATAAAAATCAGGACTTTGCTATGGTGACATGGATGTCACCGTAACTTGCACTTTTTGGTTGACATCATATAGGATTAGGTCGACCTAATCTGCTGTTTCAGTCTTGTGTTAGAAGGTAGCTTACTTCGTAGCAACTTCGAGCATTTTGTTTGAGCCTTCTAGATATCCAATATTTCATCCAATGCCTTGACTTTGTAGAAAAACATACCTACTTTCATGTGGTAGAGGTCCCTGGACTCGAATCTCATCCATGCTTCTCGAATTGAGCTCCAAAGTAGACTTCACAAACAGTTTCCCAGACTTAGCCATTTTCAAGCAGTTTTTCAGTTTTGACATAGTCTTTTGATCAGGTTCAAAAATGGTCTTCTGGACTTCCTATCGAGCTCCAAAGCACTTCAATGTGTAGAGGGACACTCCAACTTCAAAACAAGCCATTAATCTCAAATTTCTATCGAGCCAATTATAAGATATGAATCTCAAAAGTAGGCACCATGAAACTGTTTTTACACTGAAACAACATATTAGGTCGACCTAATCCTAACTGAAGTCGACCGAAAAGTGCAAGTTACGGTGACATGCATGTCACCATATGCGCACCCTAAAAATCATCCTTTACATATTTGTTAATCAAAATATAATTATTTGAATATAAATTATGATAATTGTAACATTAATTTTAGAGCATCTCCATTGGAATTGCAATTAGAATTGTATTATGACATGACATTCATTTGCAATTGCATTGATGTAGATGACAATTGCATCTTTGCAAGCTTGCATATAATGCAATTATGGAATGCAAGCCACATCATCTTTTTTATTATTAAATTATTCATTAATTTTATTATTTGAGTGTTTATGTTTTAATAGATTAAATCAAAAAAATTAGTTGCAATTGCAAGTTAATTGCATTGATGTGGTGCAATGCAAGTAAGATGAGTTGGAGTGCAAAAAAATGAAGTAACAATAAAAAAAAACAAAAGCAATTGCAACAATGGAGATGCTCTTACACATTCACCCCTTCCTAATTATTTCTCTCTTATTGCACCAAAAATCTTAACTTATATAATAGTCGTTGTGGAGAAATTTTTTGTCATGTAGGATAAAGAAAGCTCCATAATTTTCCATGTCATTTCTATCCTTTAACATTTTTAAGTTATTAATTACATTAAAATAAAACTAAATAAACATGTACATCTACCATCATGACTAACATTTGAACCTGCGACCTATGAGCTCAAACCATCATCATTTCAAGTGTTCAACCAATGGGATAAATTAGATTTGATGTTATTAATCACAACAAAACATCTACATATATAATCATAATTAACATTTAATCATGCAATCTAAGAGCTCAAACTGTAAACATTCCAGTTGTTTAACTAATAGAATAAAATTTCATTGATACAATTAATAACAACAAATAATACTCATTTTATAGAAAAATGGTCAACAAATAACATTTTATTTTTATTTAATGGTTGACTTCTATACAACACACAACAAAAACTATCATGGATAAAATTTTGTATTATATTTTTTAGCCATGATAGAAAATCATTAAATATTACAAATAACCTATTTTAGATTTTTATTTTATATGTTTGATAATTTTATAATTTTTTAAAAATAATAAAAATATGTGAAAGTTTGAATTTAATTGGTACATTACACAATTCTAATTTTTACATAATTTGACATGTGATTTTCTTTTAAAATTGAAAAATGAAAAGG